AGAATGGTTGGGCGATGCAGTCGCTAACTTCGAAGAGGAAGACTCTGCGCCGGTGGAACCTGCGCCAGTTCTGGAGGCAGAGGTGTTGAAAATCCAAACTTCTGAAAAATCCTGGAAGGAACTGAAGGACCACTTGACCCAGCCTGTCCGTATGATCAACTTCGTTATGGTGGAGCCGATTGTGGACAAACAACAGACAACTGTTTTATCGGCTGTTCAAAGAATGATGGTGCGCTTGCAAAGACATGGGTATCCGGTGTTGAGAATCCATTCAGATCGAGCGGGGGAGTTTGTCAATGCACGCTTCCGGTCCTTTTAAATTGTGAAACTCGTCTGATATATAGGACCACTGGTGATCCTGGAGTCCCGCAAACAAATGGGCGCGCTGAAGCATGTGTGGGTTTATTTAAACGTGGTGTGAGGTCGCTCTTAAAGGAGGCGCGACTCGGGCCGGCGTACTGGGCACTGGCTGCTCGCCATTGGTCAATGTTACGGTGGCATAAAGCTGAAAGGGAGTTGGGGTTAAACCCGAAAGCATTGCTTCCCTTTGGTGCTCAGATTCAAGTCAAACGTCGTCCGTGGGAGTTGCTGGGTCCGGATGGAACAAAGAAAGGTCGGCAATGGGTCGATCGTACGCAGCCCGCGCTTCTTTTGGGTCCATGTGATGACCTACCGGGTGGTTATTGGGTGGAAGCTCAAGGGACTGCAAAAGATCCGGATGAACTGGTGTTATTTCCCTGCACTACGATTTTTTCCAATATAAAGGAACCGCCTGAATTGGAGCTGGAAGGGGTGGTAGAAGAACAGGAGCCTTCTCCTCCAGAGCATCGTCTCAAGGGGAAAAAACCGGCGCTTCGGTTCGCTGATGAGGAAGGTCCTCCTTTACCTCCGCCTCGCGATCCTCCAGTTCGCCATCGGTTAATGGAAAAAAGCCCGGCCTCTTCACTGCGTGGTCATGTGGGCTCCTTGCGCTTGCTTCGCAAGCGGGGGGAGAGTCCGCCCTTAGAAATTTTCGAGGATGACATGCAGGGTCTGGGGGAGCTGGAAGAAAATGCAGATGTTGAGGACAATGTTCCTGGTGATGAGTATTGGCCGACATGCTGTTCTCCTCATGAAGATGCTTATTTGGTCTGCAAAAGTGAGACTGCCGAGGATGGAACACAGTTGGAAAAAGAAGAACAAAAAGCCAAGTCAATGTATGAAAGGTCTATGTACGATTACGTGGACTGTGAGGAGCTTTTGGAAGGGATTGTATACCCAAAGAGGGTGAATCGAAGAGGTGGTATCAACAATTGGTGCACAAGTACGCGAGCTCTGGTGTTGGGCCATTATTGCCATTATACTCATGGCGGAGTGTGTGGAATTACAAAAGAGACTCATCGAAGGCCATGGCTATGTCGTTACCTGGCATCATTTGTGAGACACCACAATCCTGAAGCCAAATTTTCTGCTCTTCAGATCTCATGCAATGCTCCGGTATCATTGCATAGGGATAGTCACAATGAAAAGCATTGCTGCAATTATGTGTGTGGCTTTGGTGACTATAAGGATGGTCAGCTGTGGGTTGAGGATGAAAAGGCTTTAGAGGAAGGAGCTGAAGTGGTGGAGCAATCCTATGGGAAGAAAGTCTTGCCTGGAAAATTGGTTGATATCCACTGGAACTTCATGTCGTTCTTTCCGAGAAAATTGCATGGTCCTATGCCTTGGAAAGGGAACAGGGTATCCTTGACAGGGTACACACCTGTTTTTATGGAGCGTTTGAGCTACAAGGATAGGTGCTATCTTCTCCAATGTAAGTTTCCTCTTCCGGAACCACAAGCTGAAGAAGGTGAAAAAAGGAAATGGTTAAAAATTACGTTGAAAGAGACCTCGCTGGACGACATTGCGGAGGAAGTCGACTATGCTGTGTTCGAAGCGCACCAATGGGCTCTAGAGGAGCATTTGAGTATTCGACGCCTAATTGCTGAACAGGAATGTTGCGTTTTGGACGAGTTCCATGGATCGGCCAATGAGTCGAATGGAGAAAAAGGATCAGAGACTAGAGAATGGCTGGTTAAAGCAAAAAGAACCGAGGAACAGCTCTCGAAGTTTTTGGTCAAAGCAGCTCAAGTTCAGCAAATGGTACAAGAAAATACCGCGCTTGAGGCAGCAGAGGAGGTTGAGTTCCTGCAAACAAAAACAATTCCTACACAAGAAGCCATGCAAGAGCTGGAAAAGTGGAGGGAATCATTGTCGGACGAGGTGACGTCTTTGGTTAAAGAGTTGGAAGTGGTGGAACCAACAACTCAAGAAAAGCTGGACAAATTGGCGGAAGAGCCTAATGCACCGGTGATTGAGTACGTGCCCAGTCTGGTGGTGTTTACCCGGAAGCAAGGGACAGGGAGGCGACGTGCCCGTATCTGTGCATGTGGCAATTTTATTTCGTCAACGGCAGCTACAGAATACGAAGGGCCGAGGTCCCTCAGTCGTCACTCGCTGTACGCTCCTGGTTTAGATTCAACTACATTTAGGTGTCAAGTGAGGCACGCAGCATATATGGTGTGGATCATCGCTGGCTTGAGATTTCCAAAGCTTTTCTGACGGCGCCGATGAATAGGGCGCAAAGAGAAGGGCGTCTGGCGGTGGTGCAGCCCCCAAGGGCGGCGGTGAAATTGGGTCTTTGCACAAAGGAGGAGCGGTGGATTGTGAGGAAGGCCTTGTATGGTTTGGCCGAAAGTCCTGCAGCATGGGTGGAGTGGCGAGATCAACGTCTTCAAGGCATGTCTTGGGTGTCAAAGGATGGACAAGCAATGAGCTTTCAGAGGTCCAATGCAGACCCAAGTCTGTTCCTTATTATGGCACAAGAGAAGCCGGAAGGTGCAAGCAAGTTGGTAGGGACAATGGGTCTTTACGTGGATGATTTTTTGATGGCTGGGACTATGACAGTGCTCCGGGAAGCCTTGGAACAGATCAGGAAGGAGTGGAAAACTTCTGAACCCGAGTTCTGTGGTCCAGGCTGTGGTGATGGATTCCTGAAGTTTTTGGGTGTCCAAATCTGGTATCGAAATGGCAGCTTCTTTCTCAACCAGGAGGACTTCGTGAGAGATCTGCTGAACCGAAGAGGGTATCAGATTGATGAAACTGGAAAAGGTAGTAACCTGCCAATGGTGAAAGAAACGCCAGGTGAAGAAGAGGAGGTGGATATTCCTTCCTTGCGAGCGGCTCAAGGTGCCGTAGGGGAGTTCCTCTGGGTGGCAATCAAAACTCGACCTGATTTGGCTTTCTGCACAAGCCAGTTGTCTTTGTGGACATCCCGAAGGCCGCGATTTGTGGTTAAAAAGGCTGAGGAGGTATTTCGATACCTTGCTGCAACTCCAACGTTAGGCTTGACGTTCGGAGCAATCGCAACATGCGAAAAAGAAAGGAATGAGGTGTTGCGTTATGGGCGAGGCGTCAAGGTGGTAGAGTCCTACGCAGATGCTAGCTTTGCAGCAGGTGAAAACGAAAAGAGCCACTCAGGAGCGGTGGTGGTTTGGGGTGATTGTCCAGTGATGTGGGCAACGCAGAGACAATCAACGGTGGCTTTGAGTACTGCTGAAGCTGAGTTGCATGCGTCTATAGAGGGAGCAACGATGATTCAGTCGTGTACCCCTATAATTGCCGCTTTGGTTGGAACGGGTGAAGAATCGCTGCAAAAAGTGCTGTATGCAGATTCGGTTTCGACCTGCTCAATCATTCAATATCCTGCTGGAAGCTGGAGGACAAGGCTCCTGAGAATTCGAGCAGCCGGTGTCAGGTCTCTGGTGGACCGTGGTTACATGGTGATAGCGCATCTTCGTGGTGAGTATATGATTGCTGATCTGTTGACAAAATTGATGAGTGGGCAGGTTTATGCGAAGCAAAAGGCGCTTTGGGGTCTCCAAATGTTGGTGCAAGGAACTGACTTGAAAAGGGCCTCTCTTGCAATGGCGGTCATGATGGTGGCTGCATCTCTACAAGGGATGGCAACAGGTGGAGAGGAAGCGTCAATTGCTGGATTCTTTTGCTCAGAAGAAGGGGTGTGCAGGGTCGCCAACACATCTACGGTTATGGTTCTGGCTCAAAGTATTGAAATGGTTATCAACAATGCGGACATCGCTGTGTATTTGGTGGCAACAATCACACTCTGGGAATTGGCCAGGTATCTCTTTCGGAGGCTGTACAAATGGCTGTGGGGCAGGAAAGTGGTGGTTATTCCCGCGAGTGCCACTTTGTATGCAACGGTGGGTGGGAACTGTATGCACGCAAGCAGTGACTGTGATGTTCTGCGATATTCACAGCCCAGGGCCAAGACGCTTTGTAAGCATTGCGTCAAGAAGGGTTGGGTGGTGAATGCTGAGTTCCTTGGTGAGGAACGGGCCGCTGGAACGTAGACTTTTTCAAAGTGTGAGGTGAAGAAATCCTCAATGGTAAGGGATTCGGCCAATGAGCTGAAGGTTCGTCCTGGAAAGACGTAAAACCATGGTGTGCAAATTAATGGCTATGGCCCGTCCATCGGACGTTAAACATGAAGATGACCGTTGTCAAAGCGACAATTTTTCGGTCAAAGGTCTGCACCTCCAGTTTGTGTCCTAGGAAAACCTAGGACAGGGGGAGTGCGGAGCTGCAATTTGTATTCAGGAAAGAGTTGGTGTTGAAGGAAAAAGGGTCAATGTACCCGGTATCATTTTGGGTCAAGAAACTTGGGCAATGCGCCCTGAGAAAAAGAGTCTCTCTGGGTTTTGGGTTGGTTTGTGGTTGGTTGTTCCAGGGGAATCAAGGGTTTCTGTTGGGGTTGACTGTTTTGTTCCCCGTCCTCCTTCGGTTGCCCCCCGTACCCTAAACCCTAAACCCTAAACCCTAAACCCTAAAGAGCATATGTCCTGCCCTGGACTGACACGCATGTGTCTACCTACCAACCAACCAACCAACCAACCTAAACCCTAAACCCTAAACCCTAAACCCTAAACCCTAAACCCTAAACCCTAACCACATCAGGGCGCTTTACAGCATCGTCTCTGGAACCCATATTCACGAGCATGAAGTTGACCTGGGGGTCGGGGGGGGGGGGGGGGGGGGGGGGGGGATGGCAATTGTAGCCTGAACCCTAAACCCTAAACCCTAAACCCTAAACCCTAAACCCTAAACCCGAAACCCTAAACCCTAAACCCTAAACCCCAGATCCCTGTATCCTAAACTCTAAACTCTAAACCTCACACCCTAACCCCAAAACCCCAACGGTTGCAGGTGAAGTGAAAGGGTGAAATCCTTGACATGTGACGGGCCCAAACAACTTCGAGGCTTGACCTTGGGTTAAGGGATCAAGGAAAGTGATCTCGGGTCGAAGGGTTTAGGGTTTGGGGGGTTTAGGGTTTAGAGTTTGGGGCTTCAAAGGGCTGAATGGCCAAACCCTAAATCCTACAAAACTTCATTCTGAACTGCACCTGGGGGTAGTGCAGGGTGTATCGTCGCGGGGCCGGGGGGCGAAGTTTTGGTTTAGGGGTCTAAGGGTTTAGGTTTATGGGCTTCAGAGTGAGGGTTACAGGGGTTTAAGGTTTAAAGGGTTTAAGGGTTAAAGTTGTAGGGCTTAAGGGGGAGAGGGGGGGGGGGGGCTTTCAAGACTCTCTAAGCCGTAAGAGCAATAAGAAGGACCCGCAGACAATCATGCGCTCAAGATATCCTGCCACCAATGAAAGACCTGAAAGAAGCCCCATGTTAAGGGGTATAAGGAGGGATCCCAAATCTTACTCCCCTAAATGCCCTATACATATATACCTTACATGGTCCCTGTATACCCAAGTAGCCCTTACAAGTGTCCCTCCCGCAGTCCCTTGACCATGTGTCCGCACCTTATCTTTGTACTTTTCGTCTCCAGCGAGCTGCTCGATCTTCTCAGCCTGAAGGCATCTTAAGGCGGCTGAGGGTTTAGGGTTTAGAGTTAGTGTCTGGGGTTTAGGTTTTTGTTTTTTATAATCTGGTTCTGGGCTTAGGGCTTATGGTGCACATGTCATGGATTCACTGCTCAAGTGCTTCCTGGTTGTTGCTTTTGTTGGTGCGGGGAGGGAGGGCGCGGGAATGGTGGCGAAAGGCCTGGCTGACAGGGCACACTCGTCGTCTTTTTTTTTTTTTTTTTTTTTTTTTTTTGGGGGGGGGGGGGGGGCGTAAGTTCGAATAGGGTTTAGGGTTTAGGGGTTTAGGGGCTTTTAGGGGTTTTTAGGGGTTTTGGGTTTTAAGGGTTCAGTGTTTTGGGGTTCACCTCGGCTCCCCCCCCCTCCCTTCGACCCCTCCTAGCAATGCTCAAAAACACTAATGCTGGCAGGCAGGGGAAACGAATTCGTCATGCTTTCTATCTAATCTCCCTCCCACCAACATCAGCAAGCCGAACCCTGAAACCCTGAAACCCTAAACCCTAAACCGTAAACCCCTAAACCCCTAAACCCTAAACCCCTAAACCCCTAAACCCCTAAGCCCCTAAAACCCCTAAACCCCTAAACCCCTAAGCCCGTAAGCCCTAACCCACCCCTAAACCCCTCAACTCCTAAACCCCTAAACCCCTAAACCCCTACACCCCTAAACCCCTAAACCCCTAAGCCCCTAAACCCTAAACCCTAAACCCTAAACCCTAAACCCTAAACCCTAAACCCTAAACCATAAAAACCCTAAACCCTAAACCCTAAACCCTAAACCCTAAACCCTAAACCCTAAACCTAAGCCCTAACCCGCCCCGAAGCCAGCAAGCCGGGGTCTCCGGCTGCCGGGCCACACGCCGGACAGAAGTTCTGGTAGAAGTCGATGACCTCCACCAACACAGGGTATTTAGGGTTTAGGGTTTAGGGTTTAGGGGTTAGGGTTTTAAACCCTAAGCCCTACACACTCAGCCCCAACCCCACCCCCCCCCCCACCCACCCCAGTGTAATCCACCACAGAAGAATGTGCAAAAAACACCAGGGTTTCGGCTTCAAGGGTATACCCTGGGTAGCCCAGGAACCATCTTACAATAAGGGTACCCTTTTTGGGGTTGGTTTCTCTATAAGGGAACATAAGCACCAAAAAAGGGCAAAAGGGTACCGCTACCAGGCACCTGAATAGGGTACACCTGTTTCAACTTGAAGTAGCTGGGCACGTGGGGCCACCCACCGTAAGCACTGTGGTAGCCTCTCAACCATCCCCTCCAAAAAACCCACAAGAAACTCGACGTAGCTCCTAAACCCTAAACCCTAAACCCTAAACCCTAAACCCTAAACCCTGAACCCCAAACCTAAACCCTAAACCACCCTAAGCCCATCCGGACCGACATCTCAGTTTCATGGGTCCTGCTGGGCGCCGGGCCGTGGGCTTCTTGTTCTTCGCCAGGAACTCCTGGGAAGCTGGGGTTCGGCACCTACTTGGAGGTTCATTGGTGCTCATAACCCCAATTATATGTCTGCTTCTAACCCACTTAGGGGACTTAGAGGGCTTGTAAGTACAGCTATAGTTGGAATCAGAAGTACCCGGTCCAGAGTGTAGGGCTTTTCAGGGTTTAGGGATTGGGGGGTCTACCAGGACCGGACCTCATGTAGACATAGAGCCATTGCCTTAAGGAGGGCACCCCTCACCAGACGCACGATAATTTAAGGACTGAGAACACCGAAGCTTTACTACTCTTAACATAATGTAGGGCCTTTATGATGTAACTCTACACAAGATGAAGGGGGGGAGGGGCTACCTGTGTTTCAACTCCCAGCGAAGATCATCCGGGTGACTATACTGGAGCGCAAAGCTGTGGAAACTCATCCACGCCATCCAATACACGGCGCGCCCTGAACCCCTAGCACAGCAGAATAGATCTTTTGGGTAATATACATGTGTATATATATATACACAGATATATGTATATATATATATGTAACAATCATATCAAAAGTAGGAACAATACTAATAACACGAATAACAATAGTAATAATGCTCCTTCCTGATTGTAGTCGGAGACTAAACCCTCAACCCTCAACCCTCAACCCTCAACCCTCAACCTTCAACCCTAAACCCTCAACCCTCAACCCTCAACCTTAACCCTCAACCCTCAACCCTCAACCCTCAACCCTAAACCCTGAACCTGACACCCTCAACCCTAAACCCTAAACCCTCAACCCTCAACCCTCAACCCTAAACCTTCCATGGCATGTCCGCCGGTGTTCGCGGTCTTAGCTGGCCTTCATGAGAAGACTGGGTGTGGAAGGGTACGAAAAATAGGGTTTAGTTTAGGGTTCAGGGTTCAGGGTTCAGGGTTTAGGGTTTAGGGTTTAGGGTTTAGGGTTTAGGGTTTAGGGTTTCAATATAGATATAGTAGGAGTCACGGATAAGCAGGACCAAGCAGGTACCCCTAATTGCGGAAGCCCCCCCGTGTCGGAAGGGTACAGAAGGACATCTTCCACGACTTCTTTGACATCATCGAGACAAAAAATTGTCCCGAGGCCCAGTCTTCCGGCATTGCGACTGCGAAAGGGATACCAACGAGAAGACTTTAAACGCACTTGTGCCGAACAATTCTGATGCTTTGTAACATAATGTAATATTCACAGCATACTGCCCCATGCCATGACCAAACGCCATATTACACAGCATGTCTAACTAACATCTAGCACACATCCCCCGGGCTTCGTCTACGATGGTTGTCCTGCGCCCTGAGCCGGCCCTCAAGCCAGCCCTAAACTTTGAGCCCTAAACCCTAATCCCCCCCCCCACCCCCCCGCCAAAATATAAATTGATAAACTAAACCCTAAAGGCCCTGAGAAGCAGGCGTCGACTCGTAGACCCAGCTTCATGCTTGGCCGCTCGGGTGAAGGGTTGAGGGTTGAGGGTTTAGGGTTGAGGGTTGAGGCTTGAGGGTCCCTCCGCCAATTCGGGTGTCCAGTTCCTGAGGGGCCCTTCGAGCTTGAGGCCCAAAGCAACGACACCTCTCGGGAATTAAGCTAGGGGTTTCGGATCTTCGGTCGCTGTACAGAGGGGAAAAATTCGCCCCTTAAATGTTGAATGTAGGGTGTACTCTATGGGTAGGGCCCGCAAACCCCAACCCTCCACCACCGCGTCCTTCAGCGTCGTTGTGGAGCCTGCTACCAGGGCTGATCACGGAGAATTGCCCTAAACCCGATAAACCTTAAACCCTAAACCCCTTAACCCTAGACCCCAAACCCGAAACCCCTTAACCCTAAACCCTGTGTGGCTCGGGCAGAGATGTTTACGGTCTGGTGGTATTTCGCCTCGCCAGAAACGTTTCAGCAAGCCAACCACTCTATTGGAACCTCCACAACAAAATCACCCAAACCCTAACCCTAAACCCTAAACCCTAAACCCCAAACCCCAAACCCCAAACCCCAAACCCCAAACCGCTAAACCCTAAAAATCCGAAACCGGTGTCTTCGCTGGCCTGAAGCCTGCTCTATCAGCTGGATGTCTGGGGCCTGGACATGCATTATTTAGGGATTAGGGCTTAGGGTTGAGGGTTTAGGATTTAGGGTTTGGGTTTAGGGTTTAGGGCTTAGGGTTGAGGGTTTAGGATTTAGGGTTTAGGGCGTGGGGTTTAGGGTTTAGGGTTGAGGGTGTCGGGTTTAGGGTTTAGGGTTTAGAGTTTAGAGTTTAGGGTTTTGGGGACTGTAGGGCTTGTGTTTTTTTGGGGGGTCTAGGGGTTCGGGGCTTCAAATCTGGGGTTTGGGGGGTTTGAGGTTTGGGGCTCAGGGTTGGGAAGGGTTTCGTTTTTGAGGGGGGTAAGGGCTAAACTCAGAATGGTTTGGATTTGGGGTTGGGGCTTGAGAGGGTTTGGAGTTTGGGGGCTTTGGGGTTTGGGCCCTCCGACCCGTTTCCTAGGCGGGGGGAGCTTAGTGTCTAGCAAAGGGGCATCTTGAGGATCATGGTTGAAGTATTCGGTCATATCTTAGTAGCCCAATAACCATATAATAAAAAAGAAATATAATCATGAAAATAATTATAATAACAAGCAATCAGGGCACCCTTTTGGGGTTGGCTACTCTATAACCAACAAGAAGTGTGGGAAGAAGGGTACGGGGTGAGCTGAACTTAAGAAGCAACCCCCCGCCAAATGTTCTTTCAAGCGCCTTTCTCCCTCTCCGCTTGTCTACTTCTCCCACTCTCCCTGACTCTATGTCTCTTTACCTCTCTTGTTCATTTCTGGTTGCGGTTCTCTCTCTCTCTTTCTCTCTCTCTCTCGCTCTCGATTATGGTTTAGGGTGTATAGGGTGCTTGGTTGGTGTAGGGTGCAGTGTTTGGTGTTTATTCTTTAGGGTCATTTTCTCTTAGTTTCTTCCTTGCAGGCCATAGTGCACCTGCGCTGCCAGGATGGCCCCTTGCGCTGAACCCTAAACTCCCTCATCCCCTCTCTTCGAAGAAACCCAGCCTTCTGATCTCAAAACATCACCTCCACCTTCTAAACCCCTAAAGGGCTACAGGGTCTCCAGAACTACAACTACCAAAAGGGCTCCACAGCCCAGGCGAGTCTTCAACGCCCCCCCTGTATGCCGGGTCAAACTGCACGAGTCGGGCTTGGGGGTTCGAGGTTTGAGGGTTGAGGCTTTTGGGTTTAGGGTTTTGGGTTTAGAGTTTGAGGGTTCCGGGTTTAGGGTGTGGGGGTTTCAGGTTTGAGGGCTTAAAGTTTGGCCTTTTGGCAGAGCCCATCCCAACAGCACCCCCGCCTCCTGGCCCACGAGAGCCGCGCAGGCCTGTCCACCACAAAGCATTCCCAGCGCACGAAGCGCTTAGGGTTTAGGGTTAGGGTTTAGGGTTTAGGGTTTAGGGTTTAGGGTTTAGGGTTTAGGGTTTAGGGTTTAGGGTTTAGGGTTTAGGGTTTAGGGTTTAGGGTTTAGGGTTTAGAGTTTAGAGTTTAGGGTTTAGAGTTGAGGCTTGAGGCTTGAGGCTTGAGGCTTGAGGGTTGAGGTTTGAGGGTTGAGGCGCACGAAATAACGCTCCCGGAACTTCCACAAACCCCCGAACCTATCAGCACCCTCACATCGCCAACTCTTCAGCCCAGTGGGGAAAATATGTAAACCCTCAACCCTAAACCCTAAACTCTAAACCCTAACATCCCAAGGGCGGCCCAGCCTAGCACCTAACTCCCACACCCCAGCACAAGTTTTGCAGCGTGCGACTCAAAATCGTCTGACATGACTTCCCGATTTGTATGCCAAAGAGAGCAAGACGTGAATTAACAAAACCCTAGAATCCCAACACCCGAACCCTCAAGACTCAAACCTAAACACCTCAACAGCTCGATTTCTGAACCCTAATCTACTATTTGCTTAAGAACACACCGAAGAACACAACAAATCCTTCCTTACAAGGGCAACATAGGGTACTTTCTTGGGTAGGTTCTTAAGCAGATAGCAGCCTCAACCCTAAGCCACTAAAACCCCAGCCTTACATCCTATAAACCCTTCGTAGGGCTTCAGGGTTAAAGGTTTGTTCAGCACGTGTTGGGAACGTTCCTGTCGCGGTTTCTCTGGCAAACTCGCCAACTCGGGAAGAGGGTTTAGGCTTTGGGGTTAGGGTTTAGGGTTTACGGGGTTCCGAGCAAAAACATCGGGTGTAGGGCTTATAAACGGGTACTGCTCAGGGAATTTCAAGCTTTAGGGTCTATGAGGGAGTTTCAGGCTTTAAGGTCAATGAAAAAGCATACACACAAAAGAGAGTGCTCAAATGTTTTTCGAGTGCTTGGGTTTTGGGGTTCGGGGTTTGGGATTTAGGCTTTGGGGTTTGGGGTTTAGGGTTAGGGCTTAGGCTTTAGGGTTTCGGGCGACCAAACAAAAGTAGCAGAGCCTGCTCAGCCCTCCTGCTGGAGATCTTGCTCCTGAGTGGTGAAAGGCACGAAACCCTAAACCTCCAGTTCCCAGGGTCTAGGGTTTGGGGTTTAGGGTTTGGGGTTTAGGGTTTAGGGTTTGGGGTTCGGGGTTTGGGGTTAAACCATCGACCTGATAAACTAACCTAGGTGCAGCGCTTTCGACTCTTGACAAGGCAGGGCCTCGTCAAAAGTGAAAGAGGCTATGGGTTGAACGTGCTTAGGGTGTCAGGTTTCGGGTTTACGGTGTGGGTGTTTAGGGTTCCGTTTAAGGTGTGTGGGGTTTCGTTTAGGGTGTTGCGGTTTAGGGCTTAGGGTTTAGGATTTAGGGGTTAGGGTTTAGGGTTTAGGTTTAGGGTTTAGGGCTTAGGGTTTAGGGTTTAGGGTTTAGGGCAGGTGTTCAGAGCTTAGGGTTGCGTGTCTAGGACTCCGGTGAACCCTAATGACCCGAAGCACTAACTGGGCTCGCTTCAGGGAAGCTCAACTACAGGAGCTTCAAACAGCAGGGGCTTAGGGGTTGTGCTCCTGAAACCAGAACCTCAAGCACTGAGCATTGACCTGGTGAGATGGGCCCGCATGACGCTTATTTCGTGCTGCTTGCTCCGTAAGTATTGTTTCTGGGGTTTCGAAAGTGGTGGGGAAGAAATCAGCAGCCGGTCTGAGTCAGACAGAACCACGTGGC